GTTTCATTGGTAGAAGGTTGAAACTATTCCTGGCTCATTTGTGCTATGAGATTTGAACAAATATTAATATAGCCAAACAAGATTGTGCAAGTATAGTTGTAATAAATAATATTCTTCTTGTTGCAGGCAGTACATGGATAGATAAATAAAAGTAGATTATAAAGATTATCTGAGACATGTCCTCTGCAAAGAGGATTATAATGATTTATTCCATCTCTCTAAATTTCTAATATTACATAGCTAGAAGCAGTTATGCCAGTCTGGAAAAGCTGAACTATTGTCTATAGATAGCAATAGCAATAGCACTTTGATCTAAAAGTTTAACTCATAGGTTTACACTGAATATAGATACTTTGAAAATGAATTAAACTGTTTTTTATGTTTTCATTTTTATTTTAGAACTCTGTTTTTTCTGTTTTTATGATACTTTGTTTTGCATTAACAATATATTGTTTTGTCTTAATGTGGCCGCACAGCTAGAAGTGTTTGGTTTCTTTGAATAAAAGAAACCAAGTATATATATATTTGCATTACTGGAACATTAATATTTGAACTGCAAATATTTTATGACTAAACATAATCAAAGCTACAGTCTATAACGTTAAAATAAACAAACTTTCTGAATAAAGGCATAGGTATTCAGTCTGCTTTTGCTTCTTAAAGTGTTATTAGAGAAGAATGGCAAATTGGTGTCCAGATAATGTTTGAAGATAAAGAGTATATATACCATGCTGAAATTTCTGTTCAGCTGTGAAACTCATTGGCTGACTTTGTACAGAATTGTGAGGGCAGAAAAGGTTATTTTATTGAAAGAATTTTAACAATTTTAAATAATTGTTCCTAGATTTTTCTGAATTTCATGATTGATCTCTTTGACTGAGAATGTCAATATCAAATATGTATAAATCAGTTGACCAGAACAGTTAACAATGCTAGTAAATATTATCAAATTTATAAAATTGTTAATCAAGAATAAATTATAAAATACTGAATATGTATTAAGGGGTACTCAAATTAAGAAGCTAGATCATTATTTTACAGTATATTCTTTCTTAAAAAACTGAACTCTTATACTCTTTCTTACTCCCAACTCTCATTGATGTTAGAGGGATTTCGGATCTCCCCTCCCAAATTGTGTAAAATTCTGTTAATAATATTTGTAATATCCTAGTGCTGACTTCCTTGATACAAGCAAATTTATTCTTGGGCAAATATCTTATTAAATTTTGTAACTGTTTCCAGTTTTATATTTGCCACAATCTGTTTTATATGTAAGCATGGTGGATCTGGATTTCAGCCTGCTTTTGTTATTTCACTGCAATGAATTGTCAGTAGGCAGTTGTGTCTTTTTTAATGGGTATTTTAATGGGTCAATTGAAGGTCATGGGCTCATATGATTGTCTTTAATGAAATTGTAGCTCTGCTTTGGGAAATATCAAAGGAGTGGAAGCATCAAGGAGGTTAACTTGATAGTGTAGCTACACCAAATTTTGGAACCAGACAATTCTTTGGAAGCTAATTAATGATCCACAATAGTCTGTGGATTTTGTTATTTTCCTTTGATATATGAAGTTAAAGGAAGGCGTAAAATAGGAAGCCATCAGCAAGAGTGCCTAAAAAATTCATTTGTTCACAAGTGCTTCATCTGACAAGGAAACATTTCTCAGTATGACACAATTCCTATCTATATCAATTTTGAGACATATTTTTGTCCTATGGCTGTAGCACTTTTTTTGTGCTCATTTCAATGGTTCAACAGTTGCTTATATAGATTATTAAAAGAATAATAATCAGACACTAATGCAGACACTGAGCCAACATGACATGGTGATTAAGGTGATTAAGGATGACAAACAGGGATACCTAAGAGCTAGTTCTCTCTTAGACAAATTTGAGTGTGCTTTTTTCAGCCCTGTACAGGGAAATTAAAAAAAATCCATCTACTAAACTGCACTATATCACCATGGTAGATTAAGGCACATAACCTTCAATGAGGAGGGCTCCAACTACAATGAATTAATGTGAGCTTAATTATAACAATGCAGACATTGGGCAAGAATAAGTAGACATGTGCTATTTGATTCTGGACTTTATCAGGACTAATGCATTTTCCATCTTTTAGGCCAAAAGAAAATGGATGAGTATATTATTCCTGATTTTGCTATTAAATTTTTCACAAAAATCTAGTCTGTTATACTGATCACAAATATGAGGACACTGAACACCTAATTTCATTTTATTCCTTTGAGAGTTGGAAATAAACAGTTCAATATAGAATCCATTGAATTCCACTTACTGGGGAAAATGAAAGTTTGTTGAAAATCTGTATAGCTATGCCGACTTCCATAAGCATTTCATTATTTATAAAAATGAAAAAGTTGAATCTTATGTATGTAAGCCCACATATTTACTTCTGGGTACAGCTGCTAAGAACTGCTAGCATAAGTGCTTTCAGATGGGAAACAATTTAAAACTGTTAAAATTGCAGTGGAAACTCTGAAATAAGCATAATACAGTTTTAGAAAACAATCTCCAAACTCTCAAAAGAAATCTTGCTAATAAATATAAAGGCCGCACCCAAAACAAACTGTTTTCCCAGGAGGGAAACAAAGTAGGTGTGTCCCCTTGACCACAATTATTTTTCCACCCTAGTTGATTGTGAGAATAAAATAAAAGCTTTGTTAACTCTTGATTATTAGATATTAGGTCTTTGATCTCATCTAGTCCCATGACTGCACTGCTTAGCAATGGCAATCCCTGCAGTCCCCATTGCATTATTACATGAGGATTGTGGGTCATTAAGCAAACACATCTTCTCACAACTTTCTGCTGGTTTCTGACAGTCAAACTCAATAAGGAAGCCAGCAGGAAGATGAAAGTTCTAGGTGGGTCATATATACATATACATATACATATACATATACATATACATATACATATACATATACATATACATATACATATACATATACATATACATATAC